TGAATTTATTTTACAAAATCGAACAGCAGTACATATACCTTTTATGGGAGATTTGAGTCTTCTTTTTTAGCTTAACTCTCGTGGCATTTTCTTTGTGGCCTCTAACTCAAAAAGCAAAAACATTGCCTGTTGGATTGCTAGGCTTTGGTTGAGTTACATACTGATTTTGAGTTATTTTTTCAATTATTATTTTGCATTATTGTTTTAGCAGATAAATGGAAGCCCCGTGGAGGGGAGTGAAAACCCAGGTTCCCCTGACCCACATGTCCATTTACAGTAATAATGAACTGGTTAGGGAGATGCAATCAGAGGCTTTGTCTTCTGTGCAGGAAATAATTTACTCCCATTAGAAAGATTTAAGAAACTTCCTCAGGTATGTTATTTTCTACCACAGAGAGAGCTTAAAACTGACAGGCTTAGAGATTTAAGTGTATTGATTAAAGTTCATTTATGGAAGAATAAGGAAGAACGTTTGAAAAGTCTCTTCATAATCACTGGACAGTATACAATTTTTTTTTTTCTTTTTACAACATCACTGAGGTAAATTTAAAGTATAAGGCTTGATGAATTTAAATGTATGTATGTATACAGCCATGTGACCACCACACAGATCAAGATTTTGAACCTTTCTATTAACCCACAAAGTTTCATTTAATAACACCACCATGCTTTAACCACTATTTTGACTTCTTTTATAGTAAATTAGCTTGACCTGTTGTTGACCTTTAAACATGAAGAATTATGCTTTCTTTGTGTATCTGGCTTCTTTCACTCAATGTAATTGCTTGAAAATTTACATACAGTAGAATTTTCTTTGCAAGTATTTCTATGAATTTTAAAACATGCATTAGTTGTTGCTGTTTTCTTTGCATGTATTTCTATGAGTTTTAACACATAAGCAGAGGTTCTGTAACCACCACAACAATATGCTGCAGAAGAGTTCCATCACCCCCAAAATGTCCCTTGAGTTGCCCCTTTGTATTCAAATCATCCTCTTATCCCTAGGTCTTGGCAATCAATGATCTTTGTCTATTCCTGTGTAGTTTGAACTTTTCCAACTTATCCATCATACATGTGTAACCTCTGATACTGGCTTAATGCATTTGAGATTCTTCCATGTGTAGCAAAAGCTGCTTTTTTTTTTTTTTTGCTGAATAGTTTCTCATTATGTGACTATATCACAATTATTCATTCTGCTGTTGATGGCCACTAGTATGTTTTTTCACTTTTTGGCTTTCTGAATAAAACTACTCTTAATGTTTCTGTGAAAGTCTTTTGTGGATGTATGGATTCATTTTTTGGGGGCACGTATCTAGGAGTGGAATTGCTAAGTTATAATGTAAGTGTGTGTTTAACTTTATTATCCAGTGCTAACTAGTTTTCCAAACTTATTATACCATTTCACAATCCCACCAGCAATGTAAGAAAGATCTAGTTCCTCTATACTCTCACCAACATTCAAAATTGGCAGTCTTATTAAATTTTGCAATTTGGGTGGGTGTTTTTTTGGAATCTTATTGTGGTTCAATTTACATTTTTCTGATGAGTAATGATGTTGAGTACATCTTCATATACTTATTGGTTTTATATATAAATATATAGATAGATATAAATATATAGCTATAAATAAATAAATAAATAAATATATGTATTTGTTGTTGTTGTTGTTATGTGCAATGGAGTTGGACCCGACTCATAGCGACACCTCCTTGGGTTTCCAAGGCAGTATCACTACGCAAGTAGATTGCCCCGTCTTCCTTCCGAGGAGTGGCTGGTGGGTTTGAACTGCCAGCCTTCTGGTTAGCAGTCAAGTGCCTTAGGCACTATGCTACCAGAGCTCCTATAATCCATTTAAAATTATTATTATTCTTTTTTTGTGTGTATAATGTGAAGTAATAAAGAAATAAGATTCTCCAGTACTATATTGAATAAAATTTTCCTTTCCTGTATCTGATTTCTTTGGTGCCTTTGTTGAATTTCAATTGACTGTCTATGTGTGGGTCTATTTTTGGACTTTTAATTCTATTTCACTGATATATTTATCTATCTTTCTGCCCATACCACACTGTTTAAAGTACTTTAATGTTATATCTTGAAATCTGGTAGTATATGTCTTCAAACCCCTTCCTGTCTTTCTCTTCTTCTTCAAAATTATCTTGTCCTTTCTAGGTCCTTTGCACTTCATATACATTTATATAAATTTCAAAATCAATTTGTTCCTTTTTTCAACTCCCCCCAAAAAAACTCTTCAAGACTTTTGGCTGATATTGTATTGAATCTATAGATCAATTTGTGCAAACTTGACATCTTAATAGTACTTAGTCTTTCTATTCACAAATATTGTAATTCTATCCATCTATTTGTGTCTTAAAATTTTCTGCAATGTTTTGTAGTGTCTGGTATAGAGAACTAACACAGCCTTTATTGATTTTATTATAGATATTTGAGGATATTGTAAAATTAAAATTTTTTCTTTTCCTTTTGATTTTTGCTGGTAGTAGGATGCCTAGTAGCACAGGGGTGTAGTGCTTGACTGCTAACAAAAAGATCAGTGGTTTGAATCCATCAGCTGCTCAGCAAGAGAAAGATGTGGTAGTCTGCTTCCATAAAGATGTACAGCCTTGGAAACCCTATGAGGCAGCCGTGTGTCGCATAACTATGAGTTGGAATTGACTGAATGGCAAAACGTTTGGTTTTTTGGTTTTGTTGCGAGTACTAAGAGATAATACTGATTTTTCAATATTGACTTTATACTTCATCACCTTGTTAAATTTGCTTGTAGTTTGACTATTTTGTAGATTGCCTTGAATTTTCTACATAGACAATTGTGTCATCTCCAAATAAAAACAAGTTAATTTTTTCTTTGCTAATATTTACGCTTTTCTTTTCTTTCCCTTGCCTTACTGGACTAGGTAGGCCCTCAGATATAATGTTGAACAGAAACTATGAGAGTGTATATTTTTGTCATAATCCCAATTTAGGGAAAAAAAGTTCAATATTTTACCAGTAAGTATAATGACAGGAGCTCGGTAGCATAGTGCCTAAGGGGCTTGACTATTAACCAGAAAGCTGTCAGTTCAAACCCATCAGCCACTCCTTGGAAGGAAAGTTGGGCAATCTACTTCTGTAGTGATACCACCTCAGACCTGAGGAGGGGTCGTTAATGAGTCGGGTCTGACTTGATGGCACATAACAACAAGTGTCATGACAGGTATAGAACTTCTTTTGTAGATACCCTTTATCTGATTGAGAGAGTTTGCTTACATTCCCAGCTTGCTAGACATTTTTTTTTTTTTTTTAAATCATAAATGGGTATTGAATCCCAGTAAAATTTTATTGTTTCTGATTGGCCAAATATGACAAGTTGAGTGAATGCAATTCATTAAACAGATATTTATTGAGCACATAGTATATGTGAGTACAAAGCAATAAACAAACCATAAAAATCTATACTCTTCTAGAGCTTACATTATGGTATTGAGTGATAAAGAAAAGCAAATAGATACAGTATATGTTACACTACTAGTACCAGTATCAGATGTCATTGAGTCAATTCTGATTCATGGAGACCCCATGTGTGTTAGAGTAGTTGTGCTCATAGAGTTTTCAATGGCTGACTTTTTAGAAGTAGCTCACCAGGCATTTCTTCTGGTGCCTGTGGCTGGACTTGAACCTCCAACCTTTTAGTTAGCAGCCAAGAATGTTAGCTGTCACATCATAATCTAGGGGCTCCATGAGTCAGAATCAACTTAATGACAACTGGTTTGACTTTTTCCATTTTTATACTCAGCCATAGAACTAGCAATCTTTTCCAGTGGGTAAGCAAACTAGGCTGTGTTGGCCTTGTTAAAAAATGTATATTGGACTTCATTTTGATACTTTCTCCAGGGATCTTAAAGGATAATTGTGAGTATATGCAATTTTTGCTTTAAGAGATGACATTACTCTATCTTAAGATATGGTTTCATTATAATCTCAGCACAAAGGAGAATTCATTAAATAGAATATTTCAACCTTATAGAAAACACATTTTATTACCTCTATTTTTCTCATTTTGTTGTGGCTGGGTCAACATTTCACTACAGATACTCATAAATTCTCAGACCCACAATTGAAATCACTTACTTAAGGGAATGGTTTGGTGTTTCCATTTGTGAAAAGAGTTAAGAACTTGAGGTATGAATTAGTTTCTTGATATCAAAACTCAGGAAGTAGAAGTACCATCTCCTTAAAACCAAATCAAACTCACTGCTATGGAGTTGAGTCTGATTCATAGGGACCCCTCCTTGGTTTCCCGAGGCAGAATCACCATGGCCACTCCTCAGAAGAAAGGTTGGACAATCTACTTCCATAGTGATGTTGTTGTTGTTATTATGTGCTGTGGAGTTGGACCCGACTCATAGCGACCCCTCCTTGGGTTTCCAAGGCAGTATCACTATGGAAGTAGATTGCCCCACCTTCCTTGTGAGGAATGGCTGGTGGGTTTGAACCACCAGCCTTCTAATTAGCAGTCAAATGCCTTAGGCACTCCACCACCAGAGCTCCCTTAGTCTATAGTATTCTTAAGAAACAGAGTTAGTTAAAAGAGAGAGAGTTCTAAGGACTGGATATAGTATTTGGCATATATTGTTGTTGTGTGCTGATGAATCTATTCAAGTAGAACTGCTCCATAGGCTTTCCTAGGCTGTAATGTTTACAGAAGCAGATGGCCAGGTCTTTCTCCCACAGAGATGGTGGGTGGGTTAAAACTACCAACCTTTTGGTTAGCAATCAAGGGCTTAACTGTTGTGCCTCCAGGGCTTCTGGCTTAGCATATAGCACAGGAAAGACAAATGTTAGTTCCTTCTTCTTCCTTCACCATCTTTCTCCTCCTTGGTTCCACTTCTAAATGCCACAGCTGTGTTAAGAATAGCTGTGTATAGATCAAAAGATGTCACGTGGCAGAGACAGGTGAGTTTTGCATCAAAGCTGAGGTCTTCTGAGGTATCAGTAAGGAGAACATGGATAAGTTCAGAGTCTGGGAAGTGAGTTCGATTGGTGTCCAGAGATAGAAGCCTTATCAGAACATGGGTGAGAGACGGTGTTTTATGCTCTAAATCAATCTAAGTATTAGGAAACAGATGAGCAATGGAGATCAACTGTGAACTGTCATTTCATTCCATTCAACAAACTTTTATAGGGACTCCCCTATGTACAATAAAATGCTTTACATTTTCTGAGTTCAAGACAGTTTAGCGTGTGGCAAGTAAAACTGCTATTGATTGGTGACCTCGGACAAGAACGCCTATATCCACTCTGGCTTTGGTAACCTCCTGGCATGCACTGAGATAAGGCTCACACTGTGAATGACATTGGGAGGTATAGTGGATGTGTGTGTGTGTGTGAGAGAGAGAGAGAGAGAGAGAGAGAGAGAGAGATAACTCTCTGCATGTGCTGATGATCATAATTAAAGACAAACCCCTAGGAGACCCCATAATTTAAATGCCCCATATGGGTGAGCTATCTTCATTTGTGTCTATTTGTCTCCCTCTGGTGGTGTAGTGACTAAGGCATTGGACCGCTAACCTGAAGGTTGGCAGTTCAAATCCGTCAGCCACTCTGCGGAAGGAAAACTGGGCAATCTACTTCTGTAAAGATTTTCTGCCTTGGAAACCCAAAGGCGGTCACTGTGATTTGGAATCAACTCGATGGCAGTGAGTTTGATTTTGTTGGTCTCCTTTTGGTGCTAGGTGTTTGGTTCTGTGCATTCCTGGAGTCCCTGGTGGTGCAAATGGGAATATGCTTGGCTGCTAACCAAAAGGATGGAAATTTGAGTCCATCCAGAGGTGCCTCAGAAGAAAGGCCTTGTGATCCCCTTCTAAAAAACCAATCACTGGAAACCCTGTGGAAGAAAGTTCAACTCTGACACACATGGGTTGACATGAGTTAGAGTCAACTCAACAACTGTTTTTTTTGTGTTCTTAAAACGGAGTTCTCTCAACTTTACCCTACTCATCTGAGGTCTTAAACTAGAGTTTGGTTTGGAAGAGTCATCCTGCTATCAGGTGGGACTACATGGGACTTGACAGCCATATTATGAAGTTCTATTCTTTTAACTGGGAGCTCTGGTAGCATAGTGCCTAAAGCACTTAACTGTTAACCAGAAGGCTGGTGGTTCAAACCCATCAGCCACTCCTTGGAAGGAAGGCTGGGCAATCTACTTCCGTAGTGACACTGCCTCAGAAATCAAAGGAGGGGTTTCTATGAGTCAGATCCAACTCTACAGCATGTAACAACAACATTCTTTTAAGTTGTATATTCCCTGGACACTGCGTGTGAAAAAACTATTGACTTCCACACATTATGGAATATTATGGACATGGAAGAAAATAAGCTGTGTTTTCATTTTCATTTTTTCTTATGGGGTCAAAAATTAATCACTTTGGATGAGTAGTGCTAATGCAATCCCATCAGGAATTGGCATTTGGGTTTCCGGGAACTCCAGATCTAACAACTTTTTTTTTTAAAAAAATATAGTGTATGTGTCTAGGAATTGGGACCAGAGAAGCTTGAATATGGTACAACAACTAGTAACTTCATAAATACTAGAAATTTTGCAAAGGGAAAATGTCATTTTCACTAAATGATCAATTTAATAGGCAAGGGATATTGACTGTTGTTGTATGCCTTTTGAGTCAATTCTAATTAATAGCCACCCTACAGGACAGAGTAAAACTGCCCTATGGGTTTTAGTAGGATGTAAGCTTTATGAGAGCAGATAACCAGGACTACTGTGGAGTGGCTGGCAGGTTTGAACCACCAATTTTTTGGTGAGCAGCCCAGGGCTTAGTCATTGTATCACTAGGTCTCCTTGAATGGAGACGAGAATTGGATTATATGAAATTTTTTCATGAAGAACTTTTTATTCAGAAGCATTTCCCAAACATTTTTGAATGTTTGTTTCTAGTAAGAAACCTAATAGACTAGCATTCCATTAAACACACACACACACACACACACACACACACACAATGGTGTATTAGCTGGAACTAAAGAATGGTGTTCTTTATCACTATATATATATATATATAGCTGGAGGGCTAGCCAACCTATAAAACAGAGGATCCAACTGCACAGGCACTTCTAGGCTTAGATACTCTCTGGTAGAAGGCTGACATCGCTTTTGAGGAGAAAGAACTATTTGCAAAATCTGAGTCAGGAACCAACAAGCAAATTTAAGATTTTGGAAAGGAAATGGAAAGAGAAGCGTTTGGCAAACAACTTTGTTTAACTTATGGGAGGGGACACCTCTCTCATCTCATCAACCTGCCCCCACATCCCTCTGGGGGTGAGGGGACTCAGTGAGAATCTTCCAGAATATTGAGGTTGAAGTCTAGACCTTCGTTCGGATCTACCCCACTGCTCTGGACTTCCTGTTTTGGAAGTGACGCTTCTGTCCTGGAAACAGTCGGCTCTGTGGTGATGCAACGTGTAGAGTGTTTGCCCACTTGAGTCAGTGTCTCTGGGAACAGTATCAACATTCCGCATCCTGGTACATTCACCGGGTGAGGGCTGGAGATGGTTTCCAGGGGCACTTCCGTTTCAGCTTGTTTCTATTTTAAAGCCTGGAGACAATTAAAGACCAGTGTCTGGTGCCAGCATTTTTTTTTTCCCCCACAGCTCACTCTATTCTTAGAAATAGTTGAGCCAGTGGTGGTGGAGTCTAAAGGCGTTGGGATCTTTTTCTTCAAGTGGCAACAACTTACTTTTCCTGTGGAGGCTCAGTGGTGCTTTTCTTGGGCTTACCAGTGTTGCTGATGTGGCTTGGGTTGCTTATTCCCAGGAGCACAGATATTGAAGCCTTTGGAAAAGAAGCAGAAAGAGAGGGATCAGCAGCAGGCAAAAGAGGAAAAGGCAGGACTGGGGTTCTGCGGGTAGCTGCACTATGCATACCGCCTAAAATGGTGCTTGTTTAATAATTCTGAAATTTGTAGTTTAAATATAGAAACTATAATGATAAAAATGCTCATTGTATATTCAAAATGATTTTTAAGTGTCAGTGAAGCTCAGCCTACATTTTGACAAATTAAGCTGCTTTTAATATGGTTATATGCAACTTAAAAAAATTCAGCCATATTTTGTCAAGCACTTAGTATGTATGGCATATTTAAGGTATAATGTCTGTCTTCAGGGAGAGAAATAAGATATGCGCATGGATTTGTATTACAACCAGAAGCATTATTACCAAAAAGTATGTATTAAAAAGCCCATTTATAGAGGATGTCTAACTAGGAGCAGTCCAGAAGGATTCAATTTGAAGCACTGTTTGCTTTCATATATGTTAGAAAATCTCTGCAGTAAAAATCAGAAACTGTAATAACAAAATAAATAATAACATCAATTATGAAGTAAATAAGATTAAATAGGCATTAACGACAGCTACACTACATATCAAACCTGCAGGGTGCAGCCTCAATGATACTTTATCAACTTCATTGTACTTACTTGAAAATGTGAGAGACTGAGAATTCATAAGCAAAGAGCTCAACGCAACATACAGTAGAAAAACCACAACAGAGCAAGCAGAAAAGCATCAAAAGGAAGGAAATAATAAAGATAAAAATAGCAATTAATAAGTTAGAATACAAAGTAGTAATACAGAAACTCCATTACACTAAAAAGTGGTTTCTTAACAAGAGTGATAAACTTGTCTCTGGCAAGAATGGCCAAGGATGAAAGGAGGCAAGGTGTGGAAGAGAAAAGGGACAAAACTATTGGTGGAGATTTAAAAAGTCCTAAGAGGACATTATGGACAAGTTAATAACAATGTGTTTGAAAAATTAGAGATATTGGGCAATTCCCCAGAAAAATATAAATTACAGAAATTGATGAAACAGAAAGTTTGAATACACCTATAATCAACAAAAGAAGTGAATCAAGTTAACAATCTTGTAGTCTTCCCATGCCTCCCCCCCAGAAAACAAGCCCAGACACAGCCAAGTTTATAAAATCTTCAAAGAGTAGATAAGCCTTACTTTGTGTAAACTTTTTCAAAGAATAAAAAAAGAAGGAGACTCCCCAAATCATTTTATCAGGTAAGTATAACCTTGATAACAAAACTGAACAGGCATAGTAAGACAAAGCAAAATTATCAGCCACTGTCAATTATGAGTATGAATATAATCTTAAATAAAATTTTAGCAAAACAACTCTGTCATGTTTTAAAAATACATTATTGACCAATTAGCATTTATCCCAATCCCGCCATGTTGCAGGATGGTTTGACATCAGGAAATATTTTAATATGATTCACCAGTTTTGTGTATTTAAAAATGTGTAAAATGTTGCTACATATTGCTGATAGTTTTTTTTTTTAAATTTAATAGCTTTTTTTGATATATAATTTGCATACAAATGACAATTAATTTTAGAACATTTTCATCTCTTTCAGAAAGCAGCTTTGAACTCATTAGCAGTCCCTGTTCACCACTACATCCCCCAAGCCCCTGGTAATCAAAATCTATTTTTTGCCTCTGTAGATTTTCCTATCCTGGACATTTCATATAAATGGAATCATACAACATATTGCTTATGGTTTTATGTCTATGTAATATAATTCAGACTTGGAGGAAGTAGAGTCAGAATGCTCCTTAGAAGTGAGAGTGGCCAGACTTTGGCTGGCTTATTTTGGACATGTCATCAGCAAAAAGGCAAAATAAAAAATGATAACCAGTGCTGTTTGATTAACATTTTTCATTGATATTCAATTGAGTATTAGAAAATTTTCAGGTTATTAATTTATTTTGCTTATAATACTAAAATAAGAGACTGGGATGCCTTTCTTGTTTGTGGTCTTCCATAAAATATTGTATGATTTTTATTATTAATATTTTAGAATTTTGGTTTTTCACTTATGAGAAAAAGCAATATAGATGTCTGAAATAGAAAAAAAGATGAATCCTGTCACCAATAGCCACCATCACTCTAAGCCTAACACAAATCTTCCAACCTCTGTGTGCGTTTCCACTTCTTCCAACCTCTAGTGTATCATCAGAGGGCTTCTGAGGTTGAGGTTTACTTCTCTCAGCTTTCTCTGTCCCTCCTAAGATTTTTTCTGCTTTGTCTCTTTTCTGCTGTCAACATCCAGTTCCCTCCTTTCCTAATTATCTCCAATAAGAGACACTCACTAGACACATATCTTAGAATGAACATTCTTATTGCTGGTGTTAAGCTTTACACAAGCATATTTATATAAAAACTGGTTGCCATCTAGTCAATTCTGAGTCATGGCTATCTGGTGTGTGTCGGAGGAGAGCTGTACTCCACAGGGTTTTCAACAGCTAAGTTTTCAGAAGGAGATTGCCAGGTCATTTTTCTCAGGAACCTCTGAGTGGACTTGAACCTCTGATCTTTTAGTTAACAACGAATGAACCCTTTGTACTACAAAGGACTTCTATCTCTAGATACCTTGTGTTTTCTCTCTGTCCCCTTCTCCCTCCCTCCCTCCCTTTCTTCTTTTGCTTTCAAGAAAGGATCTTACATTTTTGTTCATTATATTTCATTTTGCCGTAATATCTCCAGTTTTCTGCCTTTCAAGACAATGCTACAGTCTTATTTGTGTATATTTGCGTCTCTCCTATTTCCTTTCACCAGCAAACTTGATAAACTTTCCTTCTTGTGCTTCTGAATTTGCTTTGTTCCCAAACTTCCTTTCTTTAAGTGATTCAAGAGCCAGGTAGATGATTTTTGAGCTGAGAATTTAAGTTCTATCTAAACAACATTCAAGAATATTGGCCTTCTAAAATAACTTTTATCTGTTTCCCTCTTTGATCTCTATCCTTGCAGAGATACAACAGATTTTAGCAGAAAATCCCCAAGAACAAAAAGATCCAATGGGACTTAGAAATAAACAAGAGACAGAATTTTAAGAGCTACCTTAGCAGTTCTCACAGTAACTATCCTAATCTCAGATAGCTCCAGGAGACTTCACCTCTCTCTTTTATGTTCTCTTTTCCTTCTGGGTTTCATCATCATCATCATTTTGTGCCGGCTACTCTAATACTCTACCATTTTATCTGCTCTGGAGTTGTACCAGTAAGCAGTCAGATGATTAGAGGATTTTACTGTAGTTTTATAGAACTTGGTGCTATGGAGCACAAAATCATTTTTTTAAAAACATGCTTCTGAGAAACTAAGTAAAAATGAGTTGATTGCATCGATATTTAAGTTCTGGGATCTGAATAACGCTTTTCTAAATAACATCTTAAATATTTTTCTGTTGAAAAATAATTTCTTCGATGAAGAAAGCTTCTCTGTCTTGTTGACCAAAGCCACAAAATATTATCTATTCAGTTTTTATACAGTACAAGTGGCTTTCCTTTTTAATTAATTATTTGTTTAATTGCTTGCAGAGCAAATTGGCTTTCCATTCAGCAATTCATACACGTTTTGTGACATTCGTTGCAGTCACCACAATGTCAAAGCACTTCTTCCCCCTTCCTCCCTGTGTTTACCATTTCCCTTTGTCCTTCTTTCCTATCCCTTCCTGCCTTCTGATCTTTATCACTGGGCAAGTGCTGCCCTTTTGATCTTATATGGTTGATTGTTCTAAGCATTCTGAGCAGTGCCGACCTTCTCCTTTATCTTGTCATGAGTGTTGTGATCAAGCCTCCTTTTTTCGGTATGTGGCCTTGATTGTGCCCATGGATGAGCCTGGGTAGGCCTTAGAGGATTCTGATTAGCACAGAGAGTTAATGAGCAGTTCACTTACTTGGCTAAAGTCTAGAGTCTGCCTCATACACTCTCTAGTTTAATCCTCAGAGCAGCCCTCTAAGGTATTACTCCCATTTCACAGACTGAGTAAACTGAGGCTCAAAGAGGTTGTGCTTTTAAGTAGCACATCTCCTGGTTCCCAGTACAATCCACTTTTCACTAATTGAACTATTTGGCCCATCCAGGTTAATTTTTGACTGATTCTTGAGCCTTTAATACCCAAGACTGGGAAGAAGTGGTCATACCGACAGCACTAACAAGGATGGCAGATAAAAGTCACCCATCATGGTCACATTCTCAATATGATTTTAAGAGTTTTTTTTTTTTTTTATTTTTGATGGCTGTTCATTTTTTGAGTACAATATTAAAATTATCCACTACACCACCAGAGCTCCTTTGCTCCCACCTACCGGTATGGAATGAGCTTTGGATGGTGAAAGCTTGGGGAAGACATTGCACAGTATCAAGGAAGACAGTTATATATTCATCTCTGAAGTTTTAGCAATTCTGTTTTCTCAAGGTGGAACCAGTTAAGTCTAGTCCTGGCCAATGACAAAAAAGTGGACTCAGACTCTGATAGGCCCTTGTTGCTCTGTGAGAAGAATCCTTCCCCAGCCTCAGAAAGGTCACAGCATTAAAAACCCTGCATAGCAGTTCTTCTCTGCACACATGGGATTGCTATGAGTTGGAGTTGACTTGATACAATATACACGCAAAACAACATACATGTAAAAAATATTGAAATAGCAAATATATACTCACCACTTTAAAAAAAAGTTCACTTAAGTGTGGGAAAAAAAGTGGATTGCAACTAGAAGCTATCCTCAATCTTAGGTTAATGATCTGTTTAAACATTATACCTACAAACACTTATATTCATAATTATTAATCTTCTATGACAACTTTCAGGTACAGTAGAAGTTCCTCAGATAGCCTATTCTGACAAGGACAGGATTCCAAGTTGTCATCATTTTATTCATTTGATGTATTCTTACAGAGTATACTATGAACTGTTTGTGGCAAGCACTTGAATTTCAAATCCTATC